ACCTGTGAATATAATTGTGTTTAGTTTAGTTTGAATCCACTGATCCCCTTAAGGCGTCTCTCAACATGAGCACAAAGGCTGCTTTTGAAGTTAAAGCATGGCCCTATTTATTACTTGTGATGAATGATGTATTGGTATTACTACGTGTTTGCACTACCTAATGCTGACGTTGAATGTGGAAGGTTTGTACCTGCACAGAAATAGCTGAAATGGTTTCCTTCCCATTCCCCTGCAATCCCTCCTGTTCACTCCAACTCTTAGTCCCCTTCCCCTAAAGAAGCTCTATTTCATTATCATTTTTCCATTGATTTTTAACATCTCATTCCTTTTCTTTGCATCCCTCCTCCATTTTTTCTTCCCCTTCTCATTGGAAAAAAGGACAAAAAAACAAATCAACCGTACTTCCTGTTATCCATTCTTTCTTTGGCCTGAGGTTGCAGGTGGAGAAAGGGAACCCCTCTGCATGGGTAGTGAGGGTGGGAGGCAGCACACACCCCATGAAGTTCAGTAAGTCAATTCCTCTGAAAACAAAGAGGAGAAAGTTCCATTTGGATCCAGCGGTTGCCCTTGTGGGAATCTTCCCAAAGAGTTGAAGAAACCCTATTGCAATGCGTGCTCATTTTACAGCGGCAATATATAAAATTTGTGATTAGTCAATCCTGGAAACATCCTCTATATGCTCATCTACAGATATAAGTGTAAAAAATGTGCTATTTTTATACAGTGGGGAAGCATTCTGGTGTAAACAAGATGAACTTGAGGCACTTATAGGCAAATGAATGTCTGTGGAGGCTATCATGTGAAGAGACATTAATCAGGCACACAAACTTCAGTATCACAAGTGCTCAAAATAACTGAGAAAAACTGTAACTAAATAGATAGGTAAGGAGGTATGGCTTAAATAGCCATGGGGTGGCACCTTGCAGAACTTCATCTCTTCTAAGTGCTTGGCAATATGTGTTGTGTATTTTTGAAACAATTCTGGAGAGACGCGTTTTCATTTCTTCACTAAACTGCGACACTGAGTTGGAATTTCTGATCCTTCTGGCTACTAATGCCTGCATGATAGGATTACACATTTCCACCACGCAGTCTCTTCTCTGCTTTTGGTTTTGCTTGTTTGCTTGTTTGTTGTGTTTCTAGTCTTATTTTTGTTTTTACTTTTTACCCTGGATCAAGCTCAAGGACTTGCGCTTGTGCCACTGCACTACATCTGGGGCACTATGTCCAGGTTTTGAGTGAAATGTCATTTAAAAACCCCTTTGACTAGCTCACAATGTAGTATAAAGACACCTAGACAACGGGTCTGAGCACGTCCAGCATGAGGGGCGGGGCTAAAGCAGGGGACTGGCCAGTGGTGCAGTTGAAGGCGGCCTTTGGAGGAGGCTCAGGAATGGCAGCTAGGCAGACAGGGCAAGCAGAGAACACTGAGATCTAGTCGTGAATTTAACACTGTCTGAATGGTGATGCAATGTCTCATCCGTTCATCACAGCAGAAGTCTCGGACTCCAGCCTTGACGGTGTGCAGTCTGAGACCTCTCCCCCAAGTCGGGCCAAGCGCCTTCCTGGGGAAGCAGCTGACCGCGGATCAGCGAAGGAGCTGCCCGAAGAAGGCTACGGGTTTAGGAGGGATAACCAAGGCCCGGGAGTGAGAGGCCAAACGAAGGAAGTGGCGTTGCTGGAAAGACAACAACCTCCAGGGGACAGGCTGGGGGAGCCAGGTGAAAATTACATTTGATTTCACTTGAAGGGGGAAGGGAATGGGATGGATTGGTAACTTGCTAGTAATACAGGCAAGGATGATAGAAAAGTGACCCAAGTTAGGTTCACCCTCTTCAAGAGAGAACTATATTTTGGTCTGCTGTGAGAATATCGATGGTTTTTTTCCTGATTTCTATTGGCATAGTTTTACCTGGGAAATGAGAGAAATCGCATTGTAGTTGTCAGTTTTCCTCTAGTTGCACACAATTCCCAACACCTACAATGTCAAGGACAGAGATTTAATATGGTTTCCGGCTTTGAAGCATTCAGTACTTAGTCACCCGCTTGAAAGGCGACAGGAGAGACTCTCTTGTTGAATTATGTCTTTTTTTAGGAAGAGGAGACTTGCTTCTTTTCTTTCTAATTAAAACATTTTTGGAGAGAGAAATACGGATACCAATGCAATTTAAGAAACTGTGTCGCAATGTCTTGTTGACCTCTCGCAGAGTTTCCTCACATGGTCAAATCTTGCCAAAGTAGAGAAGAGTGTCACAAAGAGTATTTCCACTGTTGTACTCTTTGAAGAATGGGTCCAGGTAGTTTCACATACTAAATTGCTGCAGGTCAAAATCTTTGTGTTCTTTCCTTGGAGCACTTTAAACTGCTGCAGGATGTTTAGTGAGAGTCTCTTTCTCAGTCCTTACTCGGGTGCTTTGTGTTGCTTTCTGTTTCGTCCGTTTCATGAGAGGTCTGTGAGCTGTATGAAATTTTGGGAAGGTGCTGGTTTTTGTTTCATATCTCCATTGTTTTCCTTTTAGATATCAATTCAGTCTTGTCCCCTTTATTTTGCTCTGCTTATGTTTGGTGTATTTTGGGAATGTTTTTACCACTTACCTTACCGTTGAGATTTCTTTTCTTTGTCTGAGCTTTCCCTGAGGTGTGTGGGGTTGAGTTTCCCTGCTTGCAAAGTTTCCTGTTTTCTTTGGTGGACTCCCCGATTGAGGCCATTAGGAGCAGTTCCCTTCTTCCTTATGAATTCAATTGTGTGACATTTCTTGATATGTATTCATTAGTTAGAGTAAAGGTTTATCTTGGTGGTTGTTTCAGAGACATTTGAAAACTGTGCATTCTTCTGTTGCTTTCTCTGGTGATATATACATATACAATGTAGTTTGTCTTGTCTTTGCAGTGTTCCTATCTAGAAATTCTTTCAGTTCATTGTCGCATATGTAACTTCATAGTACTTTCTTCTCTCAAACAGTTGTGCTGGAAATAATTTGAGTCTCTGTTTGTTTTGTGTATGAAATTGTCAGTTTTTGATGCCTTTGTCTATATATATATATTTCTTTATTTGTTACCAGTGATATATACTGGTGGTGCTATTTGCTTTAGTTGATAATAATGTAGTAGTTCTTGATATATTTCATTAAGTTTTGTCTACATATTGTTTTGAATTTCTGTTTTGAATGTATTGAATTTGAAGTTGGTTTCATAACTATGGAATGAACTAGGAATATGTTTTTCCTGCCTTCATATCTATTTCTTTTTTTCTAAAATTCAGGTAGATTGGACAAGGAATGGCTGTCTTTTCATTCTTTGCTTTGTCCCTTTCTATTTTGATGTGTATATTTGTGTGTTCCTTTCCTATTTTATATTCCTGCATAGTTTGACTACTCATACACCCCTCATTTCCTTCTGATTCTCTCTTTGGTTTGAAGACAAGTTTTTGCTGGACTAGCTTTGCACTCCCTTTGTGACCCAGGCTGGCCTCAAACTCGTGTCAAACCTCCTGCCTCAAACTCCCAAGTGTTAGGATTGTAGGCGTGCACCAGCATACCTGGCAACTTCCTTGTTTTTATGTTCAACCCTCATTTTTTTTCCATTTTGTATTAGGACCTGTTGCAAGCCCTAATGTGTGGGTTCTTCTAAGTCGATAAGTACATGGATTAAGAGATCTTATTTGTTTTTATTCTTTTACTGCTTTCCTCTCCCCTACTGTCTCCCTGTTTAGATCCCTTCCCCATTTATAAAAGTTTAATCTCCATGAGCGGCATTTTTTTATGTTTTTAATCCTTGTTTTGTCACATAACAGAAGTTGTGCAATTTTTAATGTGCTATATTTGATTGAATTCACTTAATATGATGGTGTCAATTTGCATCATTTTTGGTACGAGCAACTCCAATTTGTCGTGCATATACCTGAGTGGTACTCTCTAATGTGTACATAGTACAATTTTTTGGGTATTTCTCTTTTCATGGACACATGAGCCATTTCAAACATTTAGCTCTTATGCGTTGTAGTGCTATAAACATATATTCAAGTATCACCACATATGTCTTTATCACTTTTCGGACGATACCTAGAAAGTTTGTAGCAGGCTAAAGTCAAATTTCTAGTTGCTGTGTTTTCTGTGTTTTGTATTTCCTTTTGAAGGTGTCACATGATATTTACTTGTTACTAGTGTCCCTGTTTATTGCAGTTCATATTGATCCTTATATACTCTCCTGGGATTGATGCTTCATGAATTTGAAGGAAGCATAGACATCATATTTCTCTTCAGGTTACTTTCCTGTTTCCATTATCAATACTGTTTTGAGTACTGTTGGTTTTGAATTGGTTTTGACCGCAACATACGATTTAGAAAACTTCAAAGAAAAATAGTATTTTCTCTTTTCATTGGCCAACTTTCTGCATTGTCCTTTGTGCTTTGAAATTTCATTTTGCAGTTTTTCATGGACTTCTTTACTTGTCCTCTAGTTACAGATTTCTCATGTGTTTTGAAGCACAAGATACTACTTGTGAAAATATTTTCATCCTTAAGTGTACATAATACACAGTGGTTTGCAGCTTGCGCTGGGTAACATTATAGCACAGTAGTCCTCCATTTTACTGTATTTAGCAAATTTCCACAGCCATTTTTCTGTTGATGGATACGTAGACTGTAAACAAACCTTAGCTCTTTTAAATAGTGATATTATAAACAGAGTATGCATGTATCACTGTAGTGGTCTTATAACTTTAAATCTTTGTGGCAGATGCCAAATATGGGAATTTCTAAATGTCTCCCTGTCCGTTTACCTCTGTCTCTGTCTCTCTCTCTCTGTCTTCTCTGTCTTTGCTCTATCTCTCTACTCTCTCTCTCTGTGCTCTGTCTCATCATTTAGTCCCTCAGTCTCCTTCTCCTCTCCTTTTTCCTTGACGTTTGACCTTCTCCTCTCTGTCCTTGTTTCCCTCTCTTTTTGCTTTCTGTTTTACTTCTTTCCATTTTTGTTTCCATGTATTTATTGTTGCTTCCTTTTCTCTGGCACTGTGGCAAGATCTTAAAGTATAGCAGTGTGTCTAATGGACAAAGATTCTTATTTATGCACGTGTTGCACACAGGGCAATGTGAGATATAGTTAATAAGGTATTGGAGGAATAATTTCAACAGATTCAATAAGGTATTGAAAGGAAAAATATCGTTGTTACTCTTTAAATCTGAATAAAAATTCTAAATTAAATCTCACATTTCTAAAGAAAGTGTCTGTTTCATGTAGTCAGTATAATACACAGATTTTGTTTGCACTCTTATCATCACTTTTTGATTAGTATATGATTGCATGCATAATGATTCCATTCATCATGGGAATTTATTCCTGTATTTAATAGATTTTAATTCCTTTTTCCCCTATTCCTCTCCCATTCCTTCTCCTCTCCTGCTTTTCACATTGCTCTGCATCCTCTTTTCCAAAAGCTTTGTTTCCAGTTTTTCCTTTCATTTGCTTTATGCAATCCTGTTTTCGTTCTTTCCCTCCCTGCTACACCTCCATTGCTCCTCATCTATTTTAAACAGGTTCTTCTCCTCTCAGTATGTGTCCTCCATTTTGCAAACTGTTTATCCTTTGGGTTTCTCACAAAGAGAAATGGTGGGATATTTCACCTCGTGTGTCTGATTTATTTCACTAAATTTATTGTCTCACAATGATATCCTTTCCCCAAGAATGTCTCAAGTGTAGACCTTATGGCAGAGTAGTAATTCGTTGTGCATAAATACCACATTTTCTTTATGCATTCCTCCCTTGATGGGTATATGGACTGTTTCCAAGGTTTAGCTCTTAGGAATTTTGCTATTGTAAACGTGGGTCTTCCTGTGTCACTGTGGTATGATAGCTTTAACTCTTTTGGATCAGTTCCTAGAAAGGAAATAGCTTTGTTGAATGGGTCCTTCAGTTTTACTTCTTTGAATAATGTCCATCATGATTTCCACAGTGGTTGTACCCATTTCCATTCCCCCCAGCAACTGAGAGGGGTTCCTTTTTTCCATCATTCCTGCCTGAATTTATTACTCATTTATTATTTGATGCCACCCATTCTTTGTCCAGTGAAGTGGAATGTCAGTATTTTTAATTTGCATTTCTTCAGTGATCAGTGATACTGAATTTTTTTTTATATGTTGATTTCCTGTTTGTGTTTCTGCAGCTGAGAAGTGTTTATTCATTTGAGATGCCCTTTTTGGATTGGATTTTTCAATCAGTATGTTTTGTTTTTTACTTTTTAATTTATTCTATGTAATATTTCTCTGCATAAGGTGAACTGGTTAAAGTTTTTTTTCCATTCTGTGAGTTGTCTCTTCATTGTGTTGGTAATTTCTTTTCTTTTTGTTAGAAAAGGTTTTGATTTGATGTGATCTGAGGTGTTTCTTCTTTGTAATATTTTCCATGCAATGCTTATTTTGATTATGATATATTGACCATAACCTACATCTTCTGTGTTTTACCTATACTATCTTCCAACAGAGTGTTTCTGTTTAAGTATTAAAACCTTTGGTTCATTTCAATTTTAGTACAGTTCATGATTAGAGAAATGTTTCTACTTTTAATCTTCATCATGAGGAAAAGCAATTTCACAGCACCAGAATTAAAGGCACTATTTTTTTTCAATGAAGACTTGTGCCCTTTCTATCAAAGGTAATGTATGTGCACGTGGTGGGAGCTGTTTCTGCTTCTTCTATTCTATTCCATTGGATGTAAGTTTTGTTTTGTTTTGCTTTGCTTTTCTCTGTTTTGTTTTTCATATTACCATGCTGTTTTGATCCTGGTAATTTTGTAGTATGATTTTGCATCAGGGACTGTGGTGCCCCATGACTTTCCATTGTTTCCCAGAATTGCTTTTCGTCTTCTAGGTCTCTTTTGGTTTCATAGGACTTTTCAGATTTTTGTAATTCTATCATCAATGCTGTTAGTTTTTTAATTGAGATTGCTTTATATCATTGTAACGGTTTTGAAAGTATACCTATTTCTCCTATATTAGTTCTTATTATCCGATAAAAAGAAATAACTTTCCATTTTCTGCTATCTTCTTGGATCTCCTTTTGCAGAGCAGCACATCTTTTTATATATAAAGGTCTTTCGCTGCCAGCATTAGACGTATTCTTAAGTGTTTTATCCTTATTTATGCTATTGAAAACACAGGAATTTTAAAAGGGCTATTCATAAATCCATTGGACCCTGGAAACTTGCTAGAGTTCCATTCCTAGAGTATGCACAAACTTTAAAAAAGTACATATTTTAGATATGGTCACCAAAATGCCTACAGGAGCTTATGTTTAGTGTCTCCAAGGATGTGATCCATAGGTTCCTGCCATTAGGCCTGCTACAATTCACAGTTCAAAGAGTTTATAGTCTCTCTCTTCTTCTAGGGGAGAGGTCTTTGTGGATACTAGGTTTGGAGTGGTGGGTAGGATGCTGCCAAAGCTCAGTGTTCCCCAGTGTTTGGAACTATATTGCAGGATCTTCCAAATTGCATGGTGCTAACTCTCCTTTTATCCATTTGCAATGTATTCCTTTCCTGGGGCCTTAAATACAATTTACTGCAATCCTGGATTTCCTTGTCACTGTGGGAGGGTGAGTATTTAGAGACTCTGTTCTAGGAGTCTGCACTCTACAGTGCTGTCTCCTTCCCTCATGCTACTTGAGCTCTGCTAGGATGGTGCTCCCTCAGTAAAGGGTTTCCAGGGTGGTGCTGCCCATGGCAAATCTGCTTTGCTGTTTCAACAACTGAGATATTTGTGTTCCATGCAGAGAATTTATCTTTCAAATTGCTTTTGCATTTCTGGTTATGATTGCCTCCCCCATTTCAAAATACCTGCACTTTTTGTGTGACTCTTATCTGAATATATCCAATGAACCTCTTCTACTCAGCCCTATTGGAATCCTAGTTCTCTGATTTGAATCACAGAGATCTTGTATACATTTGCCAGTGTCTATATGAGTTCTCTATTGTAAAGCACTCCTCTGTAGTATCAAAGCAATCAGTCAAAAACCTACAAGCATTGTTGTAGACTAATGAGGATTGGATAATGATATACAGTATTTTGAACTATAATACTAGCAAGGATACTGTGAGGCTAACATGTTCAGTTGTATTATTGTTTGCAGAGTGGACTGAAAGAAATATCTTTTGTTGTGCCCTACACAGTGGTACGTGAGACTCTGTAGATGACAAAATATTCAAAATAGAGGTTTTTTATAATTCTATTTTTAAATCAATGAATTTATCAAGGAGGAGCTCTGTTTTTTCAAATGGAATTGAAGGTATCATGTCTTTACTTACAAATTTGGACAGTGTTCTTGAGGAAAGTGTTAACTATCTAAGTGTAAAATACACTGAAAAAAATCACATCTTTGAGTATTCACCCTTTTCTAATGTTTTTTGAAAACAGGTTACAGAGTAGTGTTTTAGAATGTTTTTAATTTTCTTACATCTTTTCTGACCTCCTTCTGTTTTGTGGTGACAGGTGCAGAGGGGTCTGCAGATGACCATTTTGAAACAGGGAACTTTACCTGTTTTGAGCACACTGAATATATGACAGAGAGTGAGCGAAGATATTATCCACCTTGGATATCAGGAAATCAGAGCAATTCAAGCAGTCGAGATTCCAGGAGACGAAACTCAGGTCAAGAACATTTGTCATTTCCAAGAGGACTCAGAGAACATGTGGAAACTACACAGTCTAACTTGATGTTTGCAACTTCCTCTACATCCCAAGAAACTACAACTGAAACACTAGTGGAAGAGGCTTCTAGCAGATCTCAAAGGTTAAGACACAGGAGACAGAGAAATCGCACAGCTAGAAGAAGAGCTGAACGAGGTTCAAATTCAAATATATCAAGTGAACATGTAGTGCAATTTCATGATAGCATATCACCTGAGGCTTTTGACCAGTTGTTGGTAAGTGAGACTGAGACATTCTCCAGAAATGAGCCACATGAGGTATTCAGACAAGAGAGAAGCAGACCTGTGCTACCAAGGAGAGATAATTTTGCAGCTTTTGGACGAAGCAGTAATTTCCAAGGTGAATATTCTCCACACACAACTGGAAACAGGGAGTCTGGACATTTGCAAAGAACACGTACAATCAGAGTTCCTGAACTTCAAATAACAATTTTTCCTAGAGTAGATCCTCCAAGTGATGACACAGGTAGTATAATTCCATTCATACCCAACACAGTATACAATAGTGACACTGTCGGCGGTGTTCTCGAAGAGATCAGAAATGTATTTCCACATGCTGAAGAGGCAGGTGTAACAAGTCATGTCGGTGCCCTCAGAATACCTGCTTTCAGAAATTCAAATACTAGTTTACAAGGCACAAGTTCTACTGCAAGCCCTGGAAGAACATTAGAGCAGACAATGACAGCATCTAGTGGATCTAGTACCCTGATGGACACTGATAGCGATGTGCAGTGTAGTGGCCCACCTCAAAACATGCACAGGGCAGAGTCCCAGCATAGAAGAGATGGTTCTAATTTAAATCGCAGGTTTGAACCTCATCATGGTGCAACAACCACTTGCAATCCAAGCTCCAGCTGCACTCCTGGGCCTAGTAATCACGCTATGTTCAGTGCCAGGTCTCATAATGAAAATCCAGAAATTGCCTCAGAGATGTTTGAAGGCATTAATGAAAGACGTGCACCAGTAGGCTCACGATCACAGCCCAGACAAGGTCATCATACACACTCAGAAATACTTAATGAACTTGAAGCCTGGCAGCTCTTAGGTGAGCCATTCTTTCTAGATTTAAGTATGTTTCTCCTTCTTCCTGGACTCACACAGGAAGTGATTGGTAACTTGCCAGTAAGAATATTTGGCAAAACGGAAGCTGAGAAGTCCTGCAGTGTTTGCCTTTCAGAATACAAAGAAGGTAGTGAGATCCGCACACTGCCATGTTTCCACGAGTATCATGTTCACTGCATTGATCCTTGGCTGTTGAATAATTCCACCTGTCCTGTGTGTCGCACAGAAGTGACAGGTGCTAATGATAGAGAAAATTCTTAAGTTGTGTCCACTCAGTGATATCACCTTACAGTGATGGACAAACAGAAACCATGTTTTCCATCTACTTTTGAAGTGATGCATATATACAAAGTGACAACTCGAACCAAATAACTTGATTAAGATCAAATTATGTACACCAGGTTCTCTTGCCCAATAAAGGGGATATCGCAAAAAATATGTCTTACTTGACTTTGAATAGCAGTTCAACGTTCCAGCAGGTCACTGTATTTCAGTAGAAATTTGTTAATTATACTGGGTGGGAATGCTCCTGATCTAATGAAAAGTTTAGCATTTTCTGTCCATTGTCAGGGGGCTTTCCTGCTTTAGGTACATCGCGGCCTGGCAGCAGTGTGAGATAGAGGAATCTGCTCAATTCGTAGCAGCTGAGAATCAACAGATGGTGCGGCTGGAGTCCTAATAGTTCTTCAGGCATATATGTCCACTAACAATTTTCATCCAGTGGGCCCTACATAGTAGGTTGGCTATCATACTGTATTATAAACATTTGTGGAGTGTTTCAAGTGGGAGAGGGGAGGCCCCGGACTAGCCACTGGCATGTCTTTGGTCAGCAGGGTAGCCTGAGCTCCTTTTTGCTTCCCATGTGCTGTCAGCTTGGCCCATGGATGCGCCACAATAACATGTCTGCTCCCATGCCAGCCATCGTTACTTTCCTTCATGGGTTGGGAGATTCTGGGCATGCATGGGCAGAAGCCTTTGCAGGTATCAGAATGTCACATATCAAATATGTCTGCCCACACGTGTCTGTTATGCCTTTACCATTAATTAGGAACATGACTCTGCCTTCTTGGTTTCATGTTATTGGGCTTTCACCAGATTATCAGGAAGACGAAGGTAGAAGTACATGGGCAGCAGAAAATGTAAAAGCTTTAATAGATCAAGAGGTTGAGAATGGCATTTCTTCTAACAGACTTATTTTGGGAGAAGTTTCTCAGGGAGGAGCCTTATCTTTATACTCTGCTTTGACCACTCAGCAGAAACTGATGGGTGTCACCACACTTAGTTGCTGGCTTCCTCTTTGGGCTTCATTGCTACAGGTTCCTAATAGTGGTATTAACAAAGATATTTCTATTCTGAAGGGCCATGGAGATTGTGACCCTTTAATTCCCCTAATATTTGCTTCCTTTACTGTTGAAAAACAAAAATCGTTGGTAAATCCAGCCAGTGTAACCTTCCAAATCGTGAAGGCATGATGCATAGTTCATGCCAACAGGAAATGATGGATGTCAAACAATTCATTGATAACCTCCTACCTTTAGTTGATTGAGATCTTTAAGAAGCATTGTGAAGAAGTATGCCAGCAGCATTGTAGTAGAGGTTACACTTTTTCCCAAGCCCAATACTAAAACTTCTAATGTTGACAATGTTAAAATGCTTTGCAAAAACATATCACTGTTATGTAACTTAAAACGTTTCCTTGTGGCAAATTTATGATCTTTTAAATTTCTCTACCTGTGTTTGTATAAGGTGAACCAGAATATATTAGTATTAAAATAAGTGAGGCAGCTAGGTTAATTTTCTCAAATATAATTCGGGAAAATAAAAAAAATACTGCAACTAAATTGCTTTATTACATCATTTGAAAATGAGGAGTATAGTAATGAACAGTTGTTCTGGTAAAGTGAACAGTTTTGGTAGAAATGATGTATACATGCTGTGAATTAGTCTGTGAATGTATTTCGGAGTGTCTTAGTTACCATGCAGCTTTTGTTTTTTTCTGTATGTGTTCATTATACATAATTACTGTAATCTATAAGAGTTAAATATTACTATATTATTCTTGATAATAGGGATAATGCTTTTGTCAGTCAAGACTAACATTGCTCTCTTCATTTAATGGGCCCTTTATTTGAGGGAGGAGATTTTTCTTTTCCTTGATATTATTTCCATTTAATATTTTCTCTTCTCAAGAAAAAAATGTTTCCTTTCATGCCTAGTCTTCATAGCAGACCGAATATGTTGCCTCCCTGCCGTAGACATCTACCATCAGTACATGCTGTTATTTGACATTCTGAATAACAGACATGTGATATTTACAATCTACATACACTTTAAAGGAAACCAAACATCATTTAAACTTCTTACATTATATATTTGATATCATTATATTTTAGTTCAAATTAATCCTTATTTATGTAGAATCTTCAAATCTGATCATAATAAAAGCTCATTTTTTTCTGGAAGAAATTGAATGAATAATTAGATCATATTTTGGCATGTAAAGAAATATTTAAGACCGATCTTAAAAACTAATTTGTAAAATTATTTGGCTGTTACATTGAGTTTCCTTTTCCTGT